CATCAACGAGTGCCACTGTGTTAAAAGCTGAATCTATCATACTAAGGCATGGCTACCCGTTCTTTACTTAGTATATGTATGGTAATACGGTAAGCATCTCTCACTTGTCGCGTTAAGGCGTAACACTTTTCACAGCATACAAATGGACGTGTTCCTAAATGTGCATGTTCATTATTTTGTTCTCCGATTTCGTCTATATTTAAAGTTTACCCTGCATCGATCTAACAGATATGTCAGCTTGATTTTATCCAGTCTGAAATAGAATAAAACTCATTTTACTGCAAAGGGTATGAAGACTTGGATCTTGGGGTCGTGGACGGAAGATTGCATTTTCCAGTATCGTCAATGAACAGGCTCGGTCAAACAGAGCCTGCAACATTTTCAATTTTGCCGTATTGAGCGTTATTTTCAGGGATTCTGCTTGTCGCTCTGAAGTCCATCATTAGTATTGTTTCATGACACTAATAATTTTTTTTCCAATCATTACCGTGAAAGATCAATGAATAAAGAGCAAATAAGATCACTTGTACAGTAGCGCAGCGAGTAAAAATTATTTCTGCATGAGTTTCTGAATATGGAGGTACATCGTATAGTAAATAAAAATGTTTTTCATGGTTAGCATAATAACAGAAAGAGAACGGAAGGCATTTTGCTGCGAATGTACAAACAGTTCTGAAATCTGCTTTAAACTGTAGTCAGAAATTTTCGACTTGGAACTGGTTACAGAATTGACAATTGACGAAAAATGTAAGATATACGCCATAAATTAGAAAAATATAAACATATTTAGGTAGGAGTTTGCCTGCCGTTTTCCCGGTTGATGTAAACCTGACTTTTTAATCATGGCGACGATGAGAAAATGCAAGAAAACGAAAAAGCTTGCAACGGAAGTCCGCTCTAATACAGCCAACTTTAAAAGTTATAGAAAGTGTTTGATGAAACGGCTCATATACTGAAGAAGATTCAATATTCTGTGACAAGCTTATATTCCCCCCCCCCCTTAGACTTGTGCTTATCCCAAAGAAATTGTTACAAAAATAAAATACTTACGGATATTTTCTTTTCTTTCCGAATCGAAAAATATTTATCTTGGAAATGATGCGGAAAACGACGTCAAGGTCCATCTTTTTTATCTTTTACTTTTTATGTTTTGGGTCTGGGGGAATATAATAATAATAATAATAATAATAATGATGATGATGATGATGATGATGATGATGATGATGATGATAATAATAATAATAATAAAGACGATTATAGAAAGAAGGAAAAATGAGATTTATAAATAAGTAGGGTAAAAACCAGTTTGTTTATCTCCAGTAACTACTAAATTCATATTACTTTTTGTTCAAATATTAAAAGATAAACAAATCAAAAGCTGTCAGTAGATAATGCAGACAAATAAATTTTGTATGTGAGAATTTTTGTGTAGATGTTCAATTTGTTGATGGCACACACTCTGTCACAAAGTAATCATATTATACTAAAATCTACAAACTATATGATTGTTATTCCCAAGTACTCTATTTGTTATCAACAATTTCATTAGCACGCAATATTTTTTCTATTACTTTCAAGAGAACCTATCTCAGTGTATACTTTTGTTTATTGATATTTCAGTTTTTTAGTATTCAAAGAAAGAATGTGATATACCTACAACCTCTTCAGAGCAACACCCTTTTGTTATGAAATAATTTGAGCCGTGTCACGACAAAACCAACATAATGGGTTTGCGACCAGCATGGATCCAGACCAGCCTGCGCATCGCTTACAAACCCTATAACAAGTAGAGAAACTTATAGCGAACAGCATGGATCCCTTTTTTATTATAAAGAGAGACAACTCCTTTAATTCTATGAAATATAAATATATGTCGTTAAAATATCATTTTGAAACACCCCGACTACATGTAAAATCATTTTGAAATATCCCGAATGAGTATTTGTGTTTTTTTTGCTTTCTTTTAATGTAAAGTCGCACAGACGAACGCACTAGCTTGCAATATTCTTTTCTGTTGGATCTAAATCTGTTCATTTTTATGTTTTGAAATCCTAGTTGTAAGGAAGGCGTTTTTATTTTATGAAACTTGATGTTTCCTGTTGCAGTCAGCATAGCAAATAAATCAAATTTGCATGCTATATTTTCAAACGCAGCTAGGCGCGCAATCCCAGTTTGAATGCATCTTGTATAATATACGATGTGTAAAGAAATATTGTGATTTACATTGACTAACCTGACAGTACCTTTGACCTGATCAATAAATATATTTGTAACCTATTCAAATATTTAGACGTCTATTGATAAATACCGCAAAATTAGCAATCTCTAGCTGTGAGCGCTTTACATCTCCATCCTTTTAACACAAAGATCTCTATTTAACCGAAAGACAGTATAATAAACAGAAAGCATTTTTATTGAAATATCTTTTTGGTTCACTTCATTTATTTGATGTGTGTACCTGATTTTCACCTAGAATGAAAGGAACGATAAAACGGACCGGGTACACTATTATTCAATATGAATACACAAATTATTTTATTTATACAACGTATTGAACTATTGCAGTATCCAAATGATTGTTTACTAAACATAGATGATTTTGTAAAATGTATTCGCCATAATATATTATTGCTTCCATTTTGATATAGAAATTATATTTGATTAAGTTGTTAAAATCGTCTTGACTGAAAAGAAAAATCTTTACATTATTTGATACGATATTTGGATATAGACTGAAACCTCATTTAATACATAGATTACATAAATAAACAAATTTCAATTGCATTTTTTAACGTTAAATAATAATGCATGAGTATGAGTAAACCTTTAAGCTTTAGACGTCATAACCATTATATTGTACCATATGTAATTGAATGTTTTGTTGTTTATATTTATATTTTTTTTCATTTAAAAAGTCCGACCAAGAATTAAAGTGACATTATGCCCATCCAAGAGTATAAAGTGAGTCAACTGGTAAAAGTCAAATTAAGTTTACATGTTGCCATTATTCCTTTCAATTTTATAAAATATTTCGCATGAACGATAAATAATTCGCGTGGTCCCATGAAATTTCTAAATATCTATCGGTAATTACCTGTAACGTTCAATACTAAAAAAAAGTGGGGCAGTCTTTTTATATTTTAAGCAGATTTATATTTTATTCTAAACATTTTCCAGTATCAAATATTGGTCAATAACCACACTATAATAGTCTATGTTTTGATATATATGTGGCATTATGCTCATATTTTCATTGTCAATTTGAGCTGAATTGACTTTATATTTCAAAAGATTGACTGTTTGAATAGAGTTTGAGCAACAGTTGATATTGAAAAACGATGAAATTATAAATCTTTCTAAAATATAAAAAGACTGCCCCACTCTTTTTATAAACTGAGCGTTAGAGGTATATTCTAATAGACATTAACAGAAATTTAAATTGGATATGTGCATTATTTATTGTTTATGGGAAGTAAACTATTTAATCAAATGGATCTATGGCAAAATGAAAACCTATTTTGATATTCACTTGTTCACTCGCCATAAACCTTTGGTTGGGCATATGGTCACTTTCATTCAGCTGAACTTGAAGATCTTAAAATCTTTAAGCTATTTTTTGCCTAGTTACATTTATTGATCTTTTGACTATGTACACGTATTAGCATCTATAATTAAAATTCATGTATCTACTGTATGTATTTACTTTGAATCACTTAATATAAACTGCATTAAAAGTGCATTATTTCAATAAAGATGTACTTTAAAGGCCCATTAAGCCTCTAAAATGCTTTTTATTTGTTAAAAGCTGTTTGTGTTGACACCGAGAGTCCTTATGAATCTTTGTGGTCTCTAGGAGACCTCTTACAGTCGAAAATTATTAGTGGTATTTAACATCCCTTGTTGGGTTATCACGCCATTTGCATCGAGTCGAAAGTAAGACTTTGTATTGATGTTTATCAATTTTATGGCCCAGTGTCTTTAACTCTCTGTGAACATTCTTGAAAGTCAAAGACTTTTAATTTTTATTTTTATTTTTTGGTGTCCTACTCGAGTTTCCAAATTATTATTCACTAGCCTTATTCCTTAACCATCTTATGCTTCTTTTGTATTCGTCAATTAGTACAGTTATAGAGAATTGTATTGATTTGTTTTTCATTAATTTTCGCTATCTTTATCATAAATTATTTCATAATAAACGCTATTTTCTTTATATGATTATCGGCACATAACATGCTCTTAATCTATTTTTACAGCATTATAAGACATAATTTACCATATCTATAGGGTTGCTACTGCGCATGCTCAATGGCGGACATGAAAATTTTGAATTCTGAGAAAAAATTAAAAAAAATAATAAAATAGTGTGTCTGGATGTTAAATGGATTGTTATTTGTTGTTGGAATTGATTCGTTTCATGCTGAGGTACTTTTGAATGTTACATTTTCGCTTAACTTATGACAAGAAAACGCAAAAAGGACAACATATCGCCGGCTACCGATAACAAAGCGCCTAAACGAAAAATGGCGACCAACACAAACTTTCCAAATAATTCAACCCAGCCAAATGTAAGTCAAGTTGGTCAATCATTTATGTTGCCTCCCATCCCTCCTATGTATTCATCACCAACGTATTACATGAACCCACAGACTTCTCCGATTCTTCAACAACCCCCACCCCCTACTCCGACGATGAATGTTGACATGTTACAATGTATAATACAGCGTTTAGATAGCATGGACTCTAAATTAGGTCAACTTTCTTCAATACAAGCAAGCGTGAATAAGATAACGGACCGCTTGAACAATATGGAGCAAAAGATTACCGATATGGAACACAGTCAGAGTTTTATGAGTGACCAGTACGATAAAGTTATGTCTAGCTCTAATGTAAACAAACAAAAACATATCAAGTCTTAGAACCGGCGTTGATGTACTTACGGCTGAAAATAGAAAGCTGAAATCCGACAGTGAAACCGTCGCTGAATCTATTTTGGACCTTAAATGTCGCTCGATGCGGGACAATTTACTCTTTTTGGAATCCCTGAGGGATTTTCGTCTGATCCTGTTTTCTCTGACACCGATAGTCCGAGTGATGAAGAACCAAACCCTAGTTCAAGCCTATCAAATGAAAAATGTGCTGAAAAGGTGTTTGTTTTCTGTGAAAAGGTTTTGAAAATAGATAACCCAAAATCCCGTATTAATATAATCAGAGCGCACAGAATTGGCAAGTTTACCAGTGGAAAAACAAGACCTATTGTTGCCAAGTTTGACAATGATTCAAAATTTTTGATTAAAGATGCGCTTAAAGGTGCTAAACTACAGATGACTCCGTACAATGTGACTGATCAGTACCCGCAAGAAATTAAGGATAGACGCAAAGAACTCATCCCCGTGATGTTAGAGGCTAGAAAGGCAGGTAAAAAAGCCGTTTTGGTTAGAGATAAATTATACATCAATAACATCATATATACAGGTGACAGTTCTCAATAGGAAAGCAGAGAAAAGTATGACACGTTAAGCATTGTTTCTTGGAACATAGAAGGTTTAAATACATGTATAAGTGACGATGACTTTTTGAATTTTGTTTTGGATTATGATGTAATCTTTTTAAGTGAAACATGGCAAAAAACTATCGAAAACTTTTCATTAAATGGATATTCATCAATTTCTGTTCCAAGACATGCGAGTATAGGTTCAAGAAGAGGACACGGTGGTGTTTGTCTTTTTTATAAAAATAGTTTAAGTAACGGAATTTCTTTAATTGAAAGTGATAACTCTGGTTTTATATGGATCAAGTTATGTAAAGATGTTTTTTGCGTTTGATAATGATCTATACATATGTTTTGTGTATATACCACCTAGTAATTCTGTGTATTTTTTGTCTCATGAAATAGGATTTTTTGAATTATTAGAAAGTAAAATTAGGAAATTCCAAGCATTGGGTAAAGTGTCAGTCATTGGTGATTTAAACTCTAGGTGCGGAGAGCGTATTGATTTTTTGCAAAATTCTTGTGATTTTGAAAAATATATAACAGTATTAGAAAATAATGAATTTGACAGTATGACCTATAACCTCCCTGTTAGATTTTCTATGGACAAGACTGTAAATTACTCGGGCAATAAGTTATTAGATATATGTTTATGTAGTGACTTAAAAATCGTTAACGGCCGTATTGGTGATGATGCGGGTGTAGGCAGTTATACGTTTATGTCAAACGTTGGGTATAGCCTAATTGATTATGTTTTAATGTCATGTGACTTTTTTCATTACATTGAAGATTTTATTGTTCATGACATGAATCCATGTTCTCACCATGCACCTATACAGATAAATTTGTGTATAAAAATCATTGTGAAAAGTCCTTAGGTAAGGACACCTTTGTTGACAAAATCGTGTGGAGTAATGCAAAATGCTTAGAGTATAAAAATTTAATTGACCTAGAAAAAAATAACCTAGAAAGTATTGTTGATAATATTATTTTTTCCAATACAGACATAAATTCTGGAGTAGATCAATTTGCAGATATCCTTTACAAATGTGCATATAGCGTTTTCGGTAGGTCAGTAAATGTGTCAAATTCTAATCGTAAACGCAAATTTAAAAGCCCGTGGTTTACGCAAGAATGCGAGACGGCTAGACGTGAATTTCGTTCAGCCACGAAGTTATACAAAAGCAATAGATCTACTAATAACAGTAACATTCTTCTTGAAAAAAGACGCATTTACCGTTACACCAAACGTAAGGCTAAAACGAAATTTAAGGCAAATCAAAAAAAAATAATTTGCATAAATTAGCTTCCACACAACCACAGCAGTTTTGGAAAGAAGTAAATAATTTAAAAGCTAAAAAATCAAAAAAAACAATAATATAAGTTCGGAGGAATTTTTTAATCATTTTAAAGACATTTTTTCGGATGATTTAGATTTTTCGAATGATGATGTTGAGAATATTTTGTCTAATAATAGCAACGTAACTAATGTAGAGCTGCTCGATAAATCATTTACTATAGAAGAAGTTCTTAAAGCAATGTCGACATTAAAGCGGGGAAAAAGCGGGGTATTGATTGTTTAATTCCTGAAATGTTTATTGACAGTAAAGATTTGTTAGCCCATTATTATGTAAACTTTTTAATCATATGTATGTAAATTGTATATATCCAGTTAGTTGGGCAAAGGTGTGATTGTCCCTGTTCCAAAAAAAGGTGACCAAAACGATGTTAACAATTATAGAGGTATTACTTCTCACTAGTATTTTCTCAAAAATATTTTCAGTTTTGCTAGATACAAGGCTTCGCTCATGGGCAGAATCAAATGAATTATTATCTGATTTTTAATATGGTTTTAGAAAAAACAAAAGCACAATTGATTGCATTTTTGTTCTAACTTCGATTATAGATAGAGTTATCTCCCTCGAAAAAGAAAGTTATACTGTGCTTTTGTTGATTTTAAGAAAGCTTTCGATGTTGTATATAGAAATGGTTTATGGTTAAAGTTATTAGAATCAGGTGCTTCGACAAAATTTGTTAAAATGTTGCAAAAAATGTATGAAAATGTGAAAAAGTTGTGTACGTGTTAATGGTATGTGTTCTGAAAGTTTTTGATAGTGTAAAAGGTGTTAAACAAGGCGAGCCTTTATCGCCTTTATTATTTCTGTTTTTCATAAATGATATGTATCAATGTATTCTTGATGACACAATAGATTCGTTTTGTTTAGAGGAACTGAAAGTTTTCTTATTACTTTTTTGCGGACGACACTGTGTTTAATGTCATATTCTTCTGAAGGGCTTCAACGATTGTTAAATAATTTACTTGTGTATTGTAACAAATGGGGTATAACAGTTAACATTGATAAAACAGTTGCTATGGTTTTTTAAAAAGGGAAATTATCCAGAACATTTTGAAGTATTTTATAACAATTGTAAGCTCAATATTGTACGTACTTTTACATATTTAGGTGTAACGTTATCTTCTAACGGATGTTTTTATCAAGCTCAGAAATCATTATCAACAAACAAGCACAAAGAGCATTGTATTCTCTTAATTCATTATTCGATGTTGTATCTTTTAATATTTCTGAAAAAGATTAAACTCTTTGATTCGATGGTTTGCTCTATTTTGAATTTATGGTTGTGAAGTGTGGGGTTTTCATAAGGCACCAGATTATTGAAAAGGTTCACATGAAATTTTTAAAAAACAAACTTTACAAGTACGAACACAAACATCAAATGTTACATTATATGGTGAATTTGGAAGACTTCCACTATATTTTTATGCGTAAGATAAGAATGATTAAATATTGGTTTAAGATAATGTCAAACACAGATTCTCTTATGTATAAAGTATTTATGAAGCATGATTTTAATGGTAATCCAGTAAATAAATGGGTCTAAAAAAATGTTAAGAACATTCTAGATGAAACAGGTTTTTCCTACCTATGGGAAAAATTTATTTGTAACAAAAATTTACAGATTTTAAAGGTTATTAATCAACTATGATCAGTAAAATTCAACAGTTTTATTTCCCGAACTTCGTAACTTTACCCCAAAAATTTGAAAAAATATTTTTTAATTTAAAAAAAAATTTTTTTACGGGGAAAATTTTTTTTCAAGTTACTTAAAACAAATCACAGTTGCATTTTTTAGGCTTAAAATGTTCCCCCTTTACAATCTTTTCTTTAAAATTTTTAAGAGGGAAGGGCCCTAAATAATTTACAGAAAACTTAGAATAAAGTACAAAAATGTAAATATAAGTAGGGATTGAAAAAGAATAATTTATTTTTTATAGTTTTGCCCTTTTTTATAGAGGAAAAATAAAAAAACGCATTTTGCCGAAATATTAAAAAGGGCATTTTGGGGCCTTTTTAATTTTTAACAAATTTAAATTTATTATTAAATACTCCCGGGGTAGGGTTTTTTAAAAAAAATAAGGAAAATTTTTAAAATTTAAAATAAAGGGTTTAAAAAATAAAAGTAATGAAAAAAATATTGGGATTTTTTCCCCCTTTTTTTAAAATGAGTTTTTTAAATTTTGTTTTTTTAAACCTTTTTAAACAAAACCTTTCTTGCATTTGTTTGGTTTTGATTATTGTAAAATAATACAAAAGAAAAATTTAAATAAGACAAAAAGTTTATTTAAATTTACTAATCAATTTATTAAATGTTTTGTTTTATCTTTCAGCTTTTTTAACTTTATAAATTAAAATTTTACTTTCCCCAAATTTACATTTAAAATCCCCCATACAGTTGTGTAAATTTTTGGGATGAACCATTGGAAAATTTTATGCAAATAAAAAATTGAATTTAATTTAATTTGGGAAATTTATAGAAAGAAAACCAACAAAACTTTTAGGAAGAATATTATATGTACCTTTAAAGTGATTCCGCTTTGTCAGCCATGTTTGTTTTCACAAAGTCTGTCCAAAGTGAAGGTCAGATAAACTACTTTCCTAAGATTTGTGTTTTTTTAAAGTTTTTTTTGTAAAAAATAGCTTTTGTAGGCACTAAAACAGACTTTAAAAAGATTTTGCCATTCATGAAATGTGCGTAAAACTTTGCAACATACTGTTTTGGTCTTCAGAAATGTAGCACATTCAAGGTAAATATTCTTTTTGTTATCATTTTTATTTTTTGTTTATAATTGTCCTTAAAATAGAAACCTAGAAGTGTACTTTCAAATGGTTCATCATTTTTACAATGAGAGCTTTGTTTGGTTTTATATGAATTTGGCTCCTCTTTTACTTTTTTTAAAAAAGATTTTAAAATGAAAACAAACATGGGGACAAAGGGGGGAATTTCACCTTTTTTAACCCCGAAAAACCCCCGTTTTTAAACAAAAATATTACCTTTTTGGGCCCACCAGTAAAAGGCCCAACACTAGGGATGGGACATGTATCCCTTTTTTAAAATTCTGAAAGGTCTATTGATATTGGCTTTTGCCCCTTTTTTAAAACCTTTTTTAACTTTTGACTTTCTGCTTTTTTTTTTCCCAAACCCCTTACTCAATTTTTCCCGGGGAAAGGGGGTTTTTCAAAATAGTTATCATTATGGTTCATTTTAGTTTTTTAATTTTAATTTTTAATTAATTTATCAAAACAGCTCATATTGGAAAAATCGTGAAAAGTTATAAAAATAAAATATTCATTTTATCATTCAAGGGGGGCGGATGCAATGGCCGCAGATTTTGAGTTCCCTGGGCGTTGGACCCAATTTTTTGCGGTGAAATTTTAATTTGGCCGACAAAATTAACGCTGAAAAGGGGGAGTATTAAAAAAAATGGAATTTTTAAAACCCTTTTTAAATAGGGGAATTGGAAAGCTTGGATTCAAAATTATTTTGATTTAGGGGGGGAATTTTTTGATTATTAAAATTTTTTACACATAATTTTTATTCTATTTATTTGAATTGCAATACCTTTTAAAAACGTGTCTGCCCCTTTATTTAAGGTTTCCTCCGAGAGGCTAATGTCGGGGTGACATTAAATTAAACTTCCCCTCTTTGCCTTGGGGTTTTTAATCTCATATGAATTATTTATTTTTTTGAAAATTTTATTGAAACTATCCGCCCACTTTGTAGAGATGGGGGTTTTTCTCGGGTGCCCGCTTTAAACCCCACAAAATTTTTTTAAAGGGGGAGTGGGTGTAAGGACATCTGAATTCTTCCTCCACTTAATTAAGCTGGACACAAAGTAACCGGAGCAACTCTTACATTTAATGATAGCTTGCCAGAAGTTTATATGATTACTTTACGGAGTTCCTGGAAAACGTTACGGATTTCGTCGAAAACCTTCTTATATACCGAAGAAACACTCGTGAAAAAATTGGAATTTTTATCTTGAAAAAAAGGAGTTTGTAGCGCTAAATTAAACTTTGGTGATTAAGTTTGCCATAGATGTTGTATTATGTGTCAGAAAAAAGCTTTTAAGTCCAGTTTTCATCGCCTCTTAATAACCTAATTATAATGAAAAGTTGCAAACAAAGGCCAGTTCTAACAAGCTTATGCCCTATTTTTCAAATGCCACAGAGTTATCACAAGCAGAGCTCAGTGACATTTGAAAATCGGGTATAAATTTATCAGCCTGGACTTTACGCTTGCAACTTTCCATTATAATTAGGTAATTTAGTATGGCAACGAAGAAGATCACAAATGAAAAGGTCAATATGTACGAATGAGCAAGTAATTTGGAAATTTTACTCAAAACTACCAGATTTTAAATAAGAGGCGATGAAAAATTGATTATAATTTTTTTTCTGACACATAATACAATATGTAAGGCAAGCTAAATCACGAAAGTTTAATTTTGCACCTCAAACTACCCATTTAAAGTTAAAAATTACCATTATTTACGTGTTTTTCTCCAGTGTTACAATAAAGTTTTCCGACATAATCCGTATCGTTTTCCAAGAAGTCCGTGACAGTTATCATAAGAACTCCTGACAAGTTATTATTATAAGATATCAATCCTTCGTGTAACAATTCTTCCTACGTGACAATGTCACATGAAAATCTTTATCTTTATTTCCGCTAAAGTCATCGCTAGGGATCATTGGTGGAAGAACATAGATACTCAATCAAACAGGGCCTTAACAATTTAAGGATAGCTGTGTTGGTTTATTTTTTACTTTTCTAATAAAAGTTTTGCACAGTATGGCATTAAACTGTACATAATACTAAATAAAGGTACCTTGTTTGTCTTAATTTCTTTTCAAATTTTTATGATCGATGTTTAGATATTGGTGCACAAGTTTAGCTAAATTTTAGGTCCACAGATACGTTTAGTCATGTAGGTGGAACTTGGACCTCATTTGTTTGCCTGGAGATGACAAAGGTCACAGACAATTCGTATTATTATTACCAAAAACATGGTGAGGTTCCATTTACTCTCCTATTTTATTACAATTCAGTCACATGCTTATCGATACTTTTATATGAGTCATTTCACTACATCTACATGTATAACCAATACAACTTTCTATTTTTTAATTTAATTTTATCAATATTTTCATCTTTACAGATAAATATGCGTAAGTCTGTATCAATTCACTGGGGTTAATACTAAAGTCTCTCAACTAACATGATATATAAATACTTTAGTGAATCCTAAAACATCTGCTATTCCCTTATACATCGGATAAGAATCCTTGACTTAGACCACGAATACACCAACGCAATTAGTACACAATCTATTAAGAGTCACTCGACTTGAAAATGAAAATCCACGTCAGCATCAAGTTAATAAATCAACTATGAGTAAAAAGTTATAAATAATAACTTATTAGTTAAAGTAATAAATGTTTTTACAGAGGTTTCCGCAGAAAAGGTAAAAAACCACCTCACTACTAACAACAAACATTTTAGATTTTTTTCAGCCTATAGAATTGATGTTCTATTTTTAGACCAACTTGATTCTGGCGGAAGCGGAGACGAGCGTGTCAAATCAGATACTGACGGTACCATTACCGGAAAGTCAAATATATGTGGTTCAACTGCTGTACCAACTGCTGAATTTCATTTCATGGTCAAATCAGGTTAGTTTCAGAATTACATTTGGTATGAGGTGAATTAAATTGACCTTTCATCATTTTCATTTGTTTAAAGATCCTATAACTCAATTTTTTTATGGTTTTATATCATAAATATAATGCTCAAGTGAAGATTAAAAAAAGCATTATTTGTTTAGATATTGCCGGATTTACATTTCATATTAAAAAGGGAGGTAATTAGAAATTTATTTTCTATAAAACTAAGTCAAATTTTTCAATAAGAAATGAATGCATATATTTTAAAGATTACATATAATGTGGCAAATATTTGCAGTACATATTTTACATATTATTTGATGTTTGAAAATTGTTTTAGAATCATAATTATATAGATATACATGTATAAAATTTTACTTAAGTGTGGTTACAACCTTAATTACAACATACAGAATCTTTAAGCCGGTGCTAGGGGGCATGGACGGTTGCTTGCATTTACCACTACCGTACATGAACAGGCCAAGGCAAACAGAGTCTGTAACATGTTTAATGTTGTCTTGTTGGGCGTCCTTAAAACTTTCAAGTTTAGCACATAAAGTATTTTGAAGGACCTGTTGACCTGATCATAAGTTTTATGGCATTCAAATGAATGAAAATGATTAGTAAAAATAAAACTTCTAATATAAAGCAATTATTATAATAGATCTTATAATATTGCTCGTAAGAGTAATTCTTACTTTAGAATATCAAATTTTAATGTTTTGACAAAATCACGATGTTTTCCCATTAAGACATGTATATAATGCTATTTATAGAAGAAATTACACATATATCTGATATTATTTAAGAAACAATTATTATTCTTATATACCTTTAGGGTCGGAATCAGCATCAAATCAATATTGTTCCCCTTCTCTCCTGGCTAAGATGGACTACACACTTGATACGCTAGGTGTGGAAACTTGTGCCGGCACGGTTGATTACTGGGACGTTTGTACTAACAGAACAACAATGACATTTAATTATACTACATGTCCATCTGAGATGCTTTATTCAAGTAATGTTATACGTTTTGTAGCTCTTCAGTTTCGAAGAAAAAAACCCGATTTTTTTATGATTGCTGCAGCGTCGTCGCCGTTTTGTTAAAACGTTAATGTAACCAATTATTCAAACATTTTAAAAGTTATCAACATTGTTGTAAGACAATGTGTATAATTTTGAAAGCAACACTTTTGGAGTTATTCCCCTTTTTAACTTAGAACTTTTAATGGGCGGGCGTTAACACCGCATGCGGCGCTCTTGTGACAATTAAAAGCACATTTATATGTAAACATATTTATATTATCTCTAGTGTGATGAATACATGAATCTTAATTGACCTGCTCTCCAATATCAGGAATTAAACAGTTAATGTGTCATATAAGTGAACATAGTCGCAGCCCGATTTTAGTTTGAAATCGTGATTATTGGAATGAGAGGCTGACACCATGTGCTTAACCAATAAGACACCTTTACCCATAGAAAATTGGCCACTAACAGGACATCAGAAGGCGACCCCTTCCCTTTGCCTCTTGGCCATCACTAGGCCACCGCCTTCCTCTGATAATTGATAAGAAGACAAGTAACATTCATGATTATTATATTCTATTGTGGCAAGGTGAACTATATTACAATACAAGACTCACTATTATTTTGTGCGTTTACATTGTTCACTAACTTGTTAACATCTTGTCCCACATCAAATGATAACTTTCCAGCTCTTCTAGTACAGTTACCACGCGTGAACTACTTGAATCAGTAGCAGGTACTTTATTATTCTGGAAAAACGCAGTGAGCGAATGATTTGAACTTTGCACACAAGTTATTGGTCTAGTCCCACGTCAAATGGAACATTAATCTCAAAAACGTATTTCAAGTCCTTCATATCAGAAATCTTAGTGCAGTCCCTTTACAATGTCAAGTCCTTCATATCAGAAATCTCAGTGGAGTCCCTTTAAAATGTAATAATTGACTAATAAAAAAATGAATACTCATTGTTCGTATGTAATAATATTAAATCAAAATATTTCTACTTTGCAGGTGGTGGAGAAGTTTATTGTATGGCTAACCTAACATCAACATACGAATATACCGTGGTCTATAATACGGACGCCTCACCGACATACAGATTTGCATGTATTGTGAGTAGTAAGAAACTGGGATGTTCTTTGACATAATGCTCGGTCAGGTTTAAGACTTTAAAGCCATCCCGAAATGTCCTAAAACAATTAAAAAGAATGTACAATATTTTTTTATTTTTAATAAGTAGAGGATATTATTGTTTTTGTGAATATGGTACATGTATTTATATCTCACTGAATATTGTAAAGAAATTATTGCTTTGCAATTGCTCTTTTTTCAAGGAGTAATAGAGAAATCATAGATAGATCAAAAAAACACATTATATTTATAAGTTATAAAGAATAAGTTATTTCTTTTCTAATTAAACCTATGCTATACGTTTAAAGCGGTAACAAGCTAATGTCTGTGTAAGGTAAAACGGATATTTAGTGTATTATGCAGACAGTTTCATTTCTTTCAAGATTCAAACATATATTCCGGGTTTTAGGTTTCGAACAGTGCAGGAACGGAGGCGTCAATAGTGTATAAGAATTGTACAATAGATCAGACACCGACAACTAATGCTAAACAACATGATGGAACAAACATTGGTGCTCTTGTCACTATGGAAGCGAAAGGTAATACCGAAATGATTTGAAACAGTTATATATTATTTTGGTTAGGTTTTAAGTCACACCAACACAATATAGTTCATCTGGCTTTTCGGTTTTACTAGTGGATGAAGACCTCAGGTGCCCTTCCTTGCATTATTTTTAGGCACGAATAGGCACTTGAGTTGAAGTACCGACGTTTCGTAAGCTAGCTGGAAACCTTGCTTACATGAAAGGATAAAACTGTTATATACTTAATTTAAAACAGTGGTTTATCCTGTTAGCACAATTGAGCTGTAGTCAAGTGAATTCAACTCGCAAAATATGTTCGTGTAATTTGTGTCGGATATTTTTGTCTTTGGTCGGTCTTTGCACTGCCGGACCGACGTATTTTTAAGTCAGAATTGCAGGGAATAAAACCTATTTGCAGTTCGGGTCTTTTATCCATTTCTACTTGAAAACCTCGCTATTCCATGCGGTTGGGAAGGCATTTGATACAATTGACTGGTGCATTATATCTATATATTTGACTTGACTTTTAAACTTGATTAGAAACGCGATATAATGATTATGAAAATTACTGCATATAGATTGCATTTTATGTTTTGGTTGGTCAGTTGTTTATTTTATTTAAGATGTGTCCTTTGACCCGAAAAGAAAACGACGAATTATTTAAAATTTAGTAAATAAAATGATGTATAATGAATTATTATTTCACATAATCTCAGATTTCAGAAACATTTGCATGTTATTTTATGTCAATGTTAATTTTTTATTAATTACATAACATTTATAATACATCTGAAATGTAATAATTTTGAAATTTATGAACATTTATGAACAACGAGATAGAATACGGTAAGATTTTTGATACAACAGATAAACAAACAAACAACAACACCACCACCAAAAAAAACCCTGTATTAATGATAATAAATTTACAATTATTATAAATTTACAATTATTTCAAACTAAAACGGTAAAATTTGAATATAGTGATGTTGATGATGATGATGTTGTTGTTGTTGTTGATGATGATGTTGATGATGTTGTTGTTGATGATGATGATGATGTTGTTGTTGTTTTTGATGAAGATGATGTTGATGATGATGATGATGTTGTTGTTCTTGTTGATGATGATGATTATGTTGTTGTTGTTGATGATGATGTTAATGTTGTTGTTGTTGATGATGATGATGATGATGATGATGTTGTTGTTGTTGTTGTTGATGATGATGTTTTTGTTGATGTTGGTGATGATGATGATGACGATGATTATGGTGATGATGATGATGATGGTGTTGTTGTTGTTGTTGTTGATGATGATGGTGTTGTTGCTGTTGTTGATGATGATGATGATGATGTTCTTATTGATGATGATGATGATGTTCTTATTGATGATGATGATGGTTATGATGATGATGATGATGATGATGATGACGATGATGATGATGATGATGATGATGATGATGATGATGATGCAATATTGACTATAATAAAGGTCTCAATCATGGGGTGTTATTGTGATGAATATAAAAATGTTGTTGTTGTTAATAGTAGTAGTGATGTTATCGATGATATTGATAATGATCATGAAGATGATTTTAGTGTGATGCTCGGTGTGTATTTAGATAAATAGTGGTTTAAAGTACCGGCTAAAGGAAAAGGCGGAAGAAGATCTAATAGAATATTTCAATTTTTTTTAATTCACATTCTTTACAAACCGCCAAACTTCATTTATTGATCAACACAGTGTTATTTCATACAGATTTTATAACGATGCCGCATGTTAACATTATTTAAATACTCAGTTTTAAGACTGCAAACCCTACTGAAAATGTTTACGAGTCGGCATTGTTTCTAAAAAAAATAATGGCGTAACGGTTCAAATTACCCACTAACGTGACAAAAAGCAGCTTCGCGCTTATTACATGAATGCAAATATATTTAAATTTATTTCCACATACGAGTTTTAACCCATCGTTAATTGAAAAACATTAAATACACCATTGTTATATTTTAATAGTTGCAATTTCACTAAATCTAATTCATTTTCTCTCTTTATTTTCAGTTTTCTGCAGTAAGTGACATTTTTTATCTTTTTATTTTCATATAATATTATTTTTGTATAAACATATGAAAAACTAAATTCGTTTTAAGACTGGATTGTCACAACAATAAGCTAGACAAGACCTTCAAGTGAGCCAAATCGACCGTGATATTGACGTATAAAGGGGCCAAATGATTGAATTTTGCTAACCAGTTATTATAAAATTGTACTTTTAAATTTCGTTAAGAATTATCTAAGATGTTTATTTCATCATCCCATTCATTGACAATCATCACTGTGGCGCCGTTATATGTCGCAACGCCGCTAAATGTCGCAAAACCATTTGACGTTAAATGTCGCAAGGTTAACGTTAAATGTCGCACGAATTTCCCTTATCGTTAAATGTCGCAACACTACCGTTAAATGTCGCAAGATGTAATTTTATGTTGAACTTAAGTTTTATTGTTGTATCATATTAATTAGATCTGCCTACTCAATTTGAAAGCGAGTGAATTTATTATATATGGAACTGCGCTACAATTAAGGCGGCGATAATACTCATCTTGTAAATAAATGTATATTGTTTAGCGTTCGATTTTTAGCTGATCTTATGCAAGTACATATTGATGATTATAAAATTTTCTACTATTTGTATGAAACTGCAAAATTGGCATTGTTCTGTAAATAGTTTAGTACAATTGTGTCTGTAAAATGGCAGAAGAGACAGGCTGCCTGAGGTGGCAGTCTGATGGCCTAATTGACTGAGGAGGCACATTGTCTCGCTGTCGGAAGACGAAGCCTAAATTGCTGACGACCTGGACCTAAAGAGTTTGCCTAACGCCCTGTAAGCCTAACGTTGGTAGCCTAGTATCCTGAGGAGGCCGCCTAACATCCTAACAGCCTATCGATGTCAGCTTTGCAACCTGACGTTGGTAATCTAACAACTTAGAATCGGCAGCCTAGTAGCTTAAAGTTTAGTGACTTATATTATAAATATGGAAACAATTTAAAATACATTAAAATCACTATGAAAGGTCATGCAAAAGCACATACACATGCAGGGG